ATCCTAGGGTTGCATGCGTCGATAGGTGGTAGTCCTTTCTTCTCTGTAACGCGCGGCTCGAACAAGGGCAGGCACATACAGCCGTTTATTAGGGTTTAGAGAGAGAGAGAGAGTGTTGTCGTGCTTAATATAGCACTAAACCGTGTAATCAGATCAGTATTATCTTATCCAAGCGTCAAAGCTCAGGCACATTACTTATCACCGTCACACTGCGTCGAAAACAAAATTATTTAGAATTAAAATTACACACTCTGTATGTTATTTTTTAATATAATATTTAAGAGTCGCTATCTCTTCACAGTAGAGAATAAATTTTAGACAGTCAGAGGTGTGAGCATAAAAAAGGATAGTATTTTAAAAATTAATTGAGTTCGAATGCATATTTACTTCAGTACTGCGTAAAATTTTTTGAATCTAATTATGTTGATTTCATGGGAGAGATTTATTCGATACAAGAAAATCCTTTTCGAAACGGATGAATATTTGTTTGTTTCGAATACATGATTTATTAAGCAGAATGTTGAAATTAATATTTATTAATGTAATAATTTTCTCAGCGTGTTACATACGTAAGTATGTGTGTTTTTACGACTATTATTAGCGTTATTTAATTTGGGAAACCAACGAATCTATACATGATTAAATATAATACGAATAAAATTAGATCTGAAGAGAAGAATAAGAGAAAATAAATAGAGAACGAAAGAAAAGAGCGAAGAAAAGTATTAAAATGTTTTATTATTGGTTTAGAAATAATTTATTCACAGATTAATCTTTTCACCGAGAATGTATGTTTCGTAAATTGCAATTCCTTGACAATTCACATGTTTTATGATGTTAGGATAAATTGCACAATTCGAGTTTAAACTTTAAACCATGTACTTGTTTGTCGGCTTTCTCTTTTGCGAGAAACGACAGATTTTCTATCTCTCTGAAAACATCATTAAGTCTGTTAATGCAATAGATTTTGGAAAACTGCCAATAATGTATTCATCTTTATAGTAGAAAATGATAATAATTTGCAACTTTTAAAATATATTTTATCTCTTCTGTGCGATTATTTAGAATTAAAATTACACACTCTGTATGTTATTTTTTAATATAATATTTAAGAGTCGCTATCTCTTCACAGTAAAGAATAAATTTTAGACAGTCAGAGGTGTGAGCATAAAAAAGGAGAGTATTTTAAAAATTAAAAGTAGACATTTTTGATGCAACTTATTTCTAAACAATAAAACATTTGAATACTTTTCATCATTTTGTTCTTTATTTTTCTCTTATTTCTTCTCTTTTAGATTTTTGTTCGTGTTTTATTCCATCATGTAGATTCATCGTTTTCACAAATTAAGAATGCTAATAATAAGTACATATTTCTATATTGTTCCTCTTTGAATTATTATCCTTAATACATTTCTTAATTATTGCATTCGAAATAAATGTTCAAATAATATTTTCCTGAACAATCTGCGGTTGTGGCAGCAATCGAGAGTTAAAAATAAAATAAAATCCAAATTTCTCTTTATAAATGACTATTTGATGCAACTTATTTCCAAACAATAAAACATTTGAATACTTTTCATCATTTTATACTCGTTCTATTTATTTTTCTCTTATTTCTTCTCTTTTAGATTTTTATTCGTGTTGTATTCCATCATTCATCGTTTTCAAAAATTAAGAATGCTAATAATAAGTACATATTTCTATATTGTTTCTCTTTGAATTATTATCCTTAATACATTTCTTAATTATCGAAATAAATAATTTCCAATGTATTTCTACCCGAGTACACAAACTCCTGCAAAATAAATGTTTTAATTAAAAATCAAATAAAATCCAAATTTCTCTCTTTATTATAAATGACTATTTGTCCTACCGCCACCGCTTTAATCGAAGAACGATGAAATTTTCTCAAGGGGCACACACGTATACATATATCATCTCCCGTATATACGCGGAACAAGTTAGCAAATATATCGGACGGGATCGTGTGTGCCTGCGGGTGCGAGTCACCGAGGAGGTCGGAGGAGCCACCGCAATTAGAAGCGGCGGCCGGCGGTATTCGTAAAGGGGGAGCAAATGCCGAATCGCCTCCTCGTCCTCCTGATCGCCGGATAGAGTTTCTATGAATGTTCCGTTACCGCCCACAACCCTTTCGCCGTTTCTCCGTCGCGCGCGATTTCCGCGCGGAACATTTCTCGCGCCGAGCTAAATCCACCGGCTAATGAATCGATCGCGGGAAGAGTACGAACGCGAGAAGTACGTCTCGTCTGGGACACGTACATATACATACACCATATATAGCTCCGGCACCCTATATCGAGGGTTGTGTGGGTTCCGATGGTAGGAAAGATGGCGGACCCTCCAGATGCTCGGACATTATGACGTCCTGATCGTTGTCACCGCATTCCTTTTATGCGGAATCACTCAGGCGAAACGACCGCAAGCACCAACTGGGGATGCAAACTTGACAGGTCTCGATTAGCTTCGCGAGCCAGAGTGTTGCGCTTCGCACTTAATCTCTTTAGGAAGAAGCTTTGTGTCGATCATCCAATTCAAATACTGACGTTTCAAGCATTCTTAATCGTTCGGACGTTACTGTTTTGACAGACAGAAAAATCGTTGGTAAAGATACGACGTGATCTCTTATCAATTTGCCACGTCGAATCCTGTATCGTATTCTAAGGCAAACGCGATAATACGATTATAACACTATTCGCTGGTAGGATGAGACACATTTCCAAGTAATATAGCTCCGGATAAAGCCCGCGCTGCCTGAATCATCGCGTGCGTGACGTCACCGGAGGGCGAGCGACCCAACGCCCATCGATATCCCCACGTGTCGACCACGACGACGAGATCGATCGCGAGCAGCGACCGGAGGCGGGCATGTTGTCCTGTTACGGCGCATCGAGATTCTTTTGTTCTCGATTGATTGACCCAGGTCGCGGTCGGCTTCCTTGACTGCGAACGCGACAGGCCAACGTTCGGGGTGGCGTTCCCCGATCGATCGATCCGACGATTTCTACGGACTCATATTGCCCTGTGACACGGAGAAGTCGCTCCATTGTCCTCGGCTTTCTTGGCGCGTGCCAAGACGCTCGTTTCAGGTCGTTTTGCGCCACGTCTCGTTGCGAAGAGAAAAAAGAGGAAGATAGAAACCGAGAGAAGACCGCGAACTCTATGGACACCGATCGTTCTCCTCGAGCTTTTTTTATTCTGCTCGCGCGATATGAAAAATGTATGGCCGAAAAAGAGAGAGGAGGAGAGACCGATATATCGATCCCTCTGCTTCTCTTTCGGACGACAATAATAAGAGATGAATGTAGACACGTGTGCGCAAGAATGCGTGGAGGTGCGCAAGAATAACTCGGACGTGAGAAAAATTGCCTTCATATGCTCGACTCCTCTCTTTATGCGCCTTTCAAATGCTAACTCCACTGCGATCATTCACTCCTTGCACCCGCTTTCTGCAAATTACTCCTCGTTCATGACGCCCTGATACCTAACGGTACCCACCTGGTCGTTGATTGACGACGATCGATTTGGACCGGATAAGAGGAGGCTGTGATTGACGCGATCGTTTCGAATTGAAATCTTGCTTGGGAAGATATACGACGAGAGTGGGTTGCCGTTCCTCGGCGAATCATCGTCGGAAAATGTGGCGATGGAGTTAGATTAGATTGAGCACTCAAAGCGTATTGTTTCATCGTATTACAATTAAATTTCAAATGCATTTTTTTTTAAATAAATTATGATTTTTTTTCGTACGATGTGAATACGATCGAAAAATGATTTTGATTAACGTTTTTTGGGGTGAAAAGGCTGTAGAAACATTTTAATTTATTATCGTTGCGATAAAATAATTAAAGAAATGTCCAACAAAAGATTCAGATAGGCAAAAGACTGATAAGATGCGGAAATTAGACGTAACAAACCTGTTTTGAAATCTTCTTTATTCGAACGTTTCGGTCTTTCTTTCTCTCTCTTTTGGACCATTTTTTAAAAATTATAAAAATTCACGCACTTTGTGATTCTCATCTCCGTCTTCAATCGGTCCTGAAAGCAATCCAGCACACGCTGAAGAACAAAAAGGGAATTTCGTTTTATTTTATTATCCATTTTATCATTAGAAATATTTACCCAAAATATGAATATTTAAAAAAGTACATGTACCCAATAAAAATTAATTAATATTTTACACTTTTACAGCAAGTACAATAGTTATGATAACTTATTGAAATAGATTTTTATTTTCAATTTTCTTTTTTTAATTTTTATAAGTTTATATTTTCAAAAATATAATATTTAATTTACGTTACATAGTAAAGTATTAAGAGAGATGTAAGCATCTAAATCTAAAACATATTCGAAACGTAAATTTTCACAAGATTATTTTTGAGAATGTGTAAATTTATAACAATTAAATTATAAAATATACATTTATTTATATAAAAGAATAATTATCTTTTTACAACTATAATAATTTTATTGATTGATTGTTTTTATGTTAGAGAAACATCTAGAATATAATACAATCTTTTTACATATCAATCTTACAGTAATGTTGATAGGATATTAAAATATGAGTAAATATACATACATACTATTGATTTAAGATTTTAGCAACATAATCAGTGTAATAAAAATAGTAGAGGTTAAAAGTGGTTAAATGGTTTCTATATAAACACAATTTTTCTTTTTGACGACGTTAAAAATAGTAATTGGCCCCATATCACAAGAATTTTTGTGTTCGCGTACAGAAAAATTCACAATTAATCTATTAATTTGAATTCTTTCTTCATAACTTTGGCTAAAGTTACAAGCAACTTCAATGAAAAAGAAAGAAAAAGGAAAAAAGAAAAAATATTGCATGTTACACAGATACGGATGAAATAACGAAAGAAAACGAATGATAATTTACATTTAAACAGTATAGCTATATTCCTAATCAATAAAATTAAATATTCATTTAAAATTAAAAGATTGACAAATACAAGAAATTGTGTAAAAACAGTATTTATTGTTGGCATAATTATAGTCATTAAATAGTTTTTGATTTTGTGCAAAATCCACGTCAGCATTCATTCGAATAACATTTAACAATCAATGCACTAAGCAAATTTTATTTCTTTATCGGGAGTATTTACAGACTTATTGTAAATCTAAATTTCTATCTCGGATACGCTTATTTCAACTTTTAAATATTTTTTTAAACAAACTTTTAAACATTTCTAATTCCTTTTCCTTAATTTCATTCTTCTTTTTTATCATTAAATATTCTTTATGAAACGTATCGTAGAAATTAAACAAAAATTTGCAGCTTTCAAAGATATAACATCTCATTGTCAGTTTTCTTCTCCCAATGTTGTTTGAAAACGGGTCCTTAGATCCAAAGGTTGATCATTCACATTGTCAGAAACGGCGGATGTAATCTTACGAATCGTTTGCGTAGACATATCTTTAACGTTGTAAATTGGCGACTGGTCGAAATCTTTTTCCTTTGAACTGTAATTGTCTATCGATTTGGAAACGGGCAAAGATTTTGACTTGTTTCTCAATTTTGCTTGAGACATCGTTGGTACTTTTATACAATTAGGCCTAAAGTTTTTGAGATGTAATAGCTGAATCTCATTTCGAAATCGATCAGCCATCTCAACTTTGTCCGTTTTTTAATTTTATTCCACCTTTTTAGATGTTCTCTCCCATTGTTTTTGGCGTACTGATCGGCTAGACTCAGCAATCGATCCATCGCGCACAATTGGCAAAAGCAATATGGTTGAAACATGTTTTTCCAATAAAATAAATCCTTCAGTAACAACAGCTCCTCCCTAAATGTAAAAAATCCTTTACTTTGAATAGGTCTGTCGTATTCGTACTCTGCAATTTTCGAACTGCTGTGTCTTTTGAAACATTCGATTTCTTTCCTCAGAATTCTTCGATTAATTCCATAGTGATTTGCGGCGCCTTTTATAGTTGTTCTTTTATTTAAATACTCCGTTACTGCTAATTCGAATTTACATTTTAGTGTAATATACTTTTTCATCTTTGTTATTACGTTTATTTTTCGATAAAACATTTTCCGATTCAGTCGATAGCTTATTGCAGCGGCTTGCACATCTTTCTCTCCAGTTAAAACATCTTCCACCGCTGCCTCGAGCTTATAACTTACTTCTAGATGATTTTTAATTGTTTGTATATGGGACATTATAATAATCTGTAAAAAAAAATATGACAAACGAAGAAATTATTATATATATGATAAAAATCGATTTAATATATAAAGTTTAATATATAAAGGTTCAATCGTTTTTGTGTGTTCACGATTGTATCTATTTTATATATTATTTTATGTCTCTCGACATTCAAGAGAATATCTATTCTTTCTTTAAAAAATAATAAAGTTTCCCAAATATATTCCAAATGTTAAAAATGTATCTCATAGTATATTTCAATCGAAAGAAAGTTCTTCAAAATATTATATAATTAATATAAGCGCAAGAGGATACTTACAAAAGAAGTGTACAAAACAAGTGTATCTGGATAAGAACGACAAACAACTGCGCGGAACGCGTATTTCTGATTTTATTGTAAATAAACGCTAACAAAAGCAATATTATTGATCATGTACGATCAAATTTAAAATTCTTTCCAGTATTTCAACAAGAAATAATTTGACTGAAAACGCATATGTCTAAGCGATACATATTTATAAAAAAATATGGCCACTTTCGCTCTTTATTTCATTTACCTTACAAATCGATGCAATTATAATAATTTATAGAATAATGCGTATGCACTTTAAACCACCGGAGTCACAGTAATTAAATAAAAGATTTTGCCGGTTTTAAATTTAAATCGTTGCTTTCGCTTTGATCATTTGGCACATATTATAGTTTGTATATGCTAACAAGTAAAAGTACCAAACAAAATAATATTAAAATTCTGTTGAATAAAAAGTTTTAGTAATAATTAATATTGCTATAATGCTTTTTAATTGCTGTACTTCTTTGAAACAAAGTTTGCAAATATACCAAATAATATTAAAATAGCATAAAATCTTATACAACGTAATGGAATACGAAAAAATATCTTGAAAACAATAGAAAATGATATAATTATCACAAGAGCATACTTACAATTCTGCCTACGAAAACAAATATATACAGATGAAGACGAAACAAACGTCTACGTGGACCTGCAAACGCGTATTCTTCTCAAACTCGAAATATAAGTAGAATAATTAAAATAGATGTTGCTATATGACATTCATACATAGGGTGTTTCAGGAGGAATGGACAGCATTTTAGGATATGATTGTACACATCATTTTAAGCAAAAAAAATTTTTTTTTTACATTTGTTTTATTCTAAACAGTTATAAAAATATAACATATTTAGAATATATTTATTAACTTTTATATATATAGAATATATTGTTAACTTTTATTAGAATCAAATTCTATGTAACAATTATATTAAATAAGCGTGCATACATATTTGAATAATTACAATTAATTGATAAGAATTTTGACCTGAGTGAGTATGAGCCATTTTAATAATTACCCTAGAAATAAAAAATTTTTAATTAACATAGGAGTTATCAAATGTAACTTAATGTTAACTTAATGTTATATTTTTAACATGGTAACAGGAAAGGACAAAAATTTAATATAATTGTTTCTTAGCATTTAATTCTACTAAGTTAATAAATGTATTCATTCTTAAATTTGAACACGTTGTAACTGTTCAAAATAGGACACATGTTTATACATATAAACTTTTTTGCTTAAAATAATGTGTACATCATGTCCTAGAATGCTGACCATTCCTCCCGAAACACTCTGTATATCAATTTTATACAATTTTAAAAATATATGATTTTCTTTATTCAAATTAATAGTATACAGACTATAATGATACACATTTATATTCTTATAATCTATCAAATTAAATCAATCATAAGGCTGCCCTGATCAGGCTGATCAGGAAAAAATGTCGTGTTTGTAAAAATTGCTCTTATACTTTGCTAGAGAAATATATTATATATATATATATATATATATAATATATATATATATATTTATATATATTATCTATAACGCATTAATATATTTACAAACACGATCAAAGTACACATACATATATACATATATATATAAATATATATATATATATATATATATATATATTTACAACTAAATATATAATACATAAATATATAATAATAAAATAATAATTATATAATAAATATATAATAAATATATAAATATATAATTAAGTATAAAATTGTGTGTATGTGTGTGTATATATATATATATTTGTTCAAATACTTTTTACATAAGGAGATTTATCGCATTATGTTACATAAATTGTCAAGGTAAATCTAGATGTGAATGAAATTTTTAAACATATTTCTTTCAAGAATTTTTACCGGTTGAAAAATTGTTTCAACCGATGCTATTATTTTGCTCATACTGTATGTGAAAATATATACGCATATGTTTATGTGTATATATGTATACATATACTGTATGTAAATAAAATTTATTAGTAATTTAATCTTAGTTGTTTTAAAATTTATTAATTAGAAATAATAAAACAACATGAGCCTATTACGAGCTATGTGAATTCATGTCAAACATATCTATTTCCAAACTTTACATCAAATCGTATAAATGATGTATATAAATGGTATATTTTACATCAATTCACACAGCTCGTAATAGGCTCATGTTGTTTTATTATCTCTAATTTATAAATTAACGAGCTTATTCATTCATTTAATTTATAGTAAAATGTATAATAAATTGTATACGATACTTGCTATATCTGAAAATATTTTTTGATGATTTTCGTATACAGGGCATAGTTGTGCATGCATTTATTCCAAACATAGTTGTGGCAAATGATAACAATAATATTTTGTAGTAAACTAATTTGTGATGGATCATGATATATATATTTACAGATTATTCGAAGTTTACGATACTAATTATTTCGCCGCTGAACACTCAAGTTTAGGGTAGTTGCTATATAGTATTACGCTATACCTCATTTCAAAGTCACGTATCCAAGGCATAGTTGCTTTTTGATATAGCTGCCAATTAGGAGGATAAGGTTTACCATATGTTTTGGCATATTGATAAACCCGTGTAGCTAGATGTTCCAATACACAAATTCGACAATCGCAGTTCCATTCTTGTTCTCGTAATTCTTTCAGGAACAGAAATTCATCCTTATATGTGAAAGCTTTAACTAAAATGTCATTGCTTACAAATTCATTATATTCGTAGAAACCATAAATCGATTGGATTGATTGGTCCTTAATTTCTGTAATTATTTCTGTTTCCTCAAGATTATATTGCTGTGCAGCTCTAGATGTAGATATGTTTTTATTAAAACAAATAGCATTTATTGCCGATTCCATTCTTCTTTTCTTATCAAAATATGCTTTTTTTCTTTCTAATATCTCATATTTCATCCGTAAATCATTCTTTTTAAGGTTATGCTGTTTTGCAACACGTGGTATATCTCTCGCTCTCTTAACTTGTTTCATTGCTTCGTCGAGCTTTCCACTTATATTTAGATGCTCTTCAATCTTTTTCCTCAGATAATTAATCTTCATCTAACGAAATAAAGCAGATAATTAAAACATGTTATGTGATATGAGTAACAAGAATACATTGTAAGACAAAAATCAGTAAATTTGTTCTCATAATTTTCATCTTACGATATTTTAATCGCTTAATTCGCATCTTCATCTCTATCGATATTCACAAGGATACATTCTTTTTTGAAATAATTTTTTTCAAAATATTATATAAATAAAAATTAACATTATTCAGAATCTCGCAGTATATTTGAAGTTCTTTTTAGTCTAAACAATTTTTAAATAATTTTGAAATACCTTGATTAACACAAAATAATACTTACGGGAGACTGCGATACTTTTGTTGGATAATCTATTCGGCATTCACCAGCAGATTTGAACTTAGAAATTTCTCCGATGTATTCCATTATGAAATTAGACAGCCAGTATGTGTCCGCTTCTTTGCATGTCAACCATTTTTTTGAAATTTTTTTTATTTCCTTGGCAAACTTATAAGCAATTTTTTGTAGTTGTTCCATTGCGCAAACTTGACAATTGCATTGACAATTTTTTTGATCAGCCCAGATATATAAACGCTTTAATAATGAAGATTGATCATTAAATGTAAAAACTCCATCTTCTAAGAGTGTGTCATAGATGTATGGCTCATTTTGTTCTGACAAGCGTATATTGAAAATTGTTGTAGATAGTTTTACTACATTAACTTCATTATTGCTTGCAGCAGTTTCTTCAGACATATTGTGAACCATAACTTCGTTTATTGCTTTGTGAAACTTGTATTTTTTTGTCAAATAATCCAAGCGACTTCGTATCATGGTTGATTTTTTAATCATTGTTGCAATGTCAATATTATAGGTTTTTGTTATTTCCTCCAAATCTATGTGTTTATCTAAAATTTCTTTCACTGCTATATGGACCTTATGGCTCAATTCCAAATATTTTTAATCTCTTTTCTGATATTGGACATTATAAGAACCTATCGAAATATAGCAAATAATTAAAAACATTCTATGTAATATAATGGAAAGAAAGCGTAAATTTTCAGATAAAAACCATAAGATTATTCGTGTGATTTTCGTTTTTACAATGTTTCAGTCGTTATCTATAATTTTGTCTACCAATTTATTTAAGGATATATTCTTTTTTAAAACAAAAATTTTGCAAATTAATATAATATTAACATTGCACAGAATCTCATAGTGCATGTGAGTTTTTCTTTATTCTAAAAACTCTTACATAATTATGAAATAATATCATTAGAATAAGACACAAAATAATCCTCACAAACAGAATCAAATTTTATCGCAACTGTCAAGCAACTTACTAATGGATTCTCTATTTATATGCTGATAAATAAAGCGAACTCACAATATAGGATGTTGCCACGAAATCGAATAATTATAGAATGTTATATAATTTTTATTGAGAATGTCAAGCAATTAACGAACTCTTTGTTTATCGGTAAACACAAGTAGACCGACAAAGAGGATATTATCAAGAAAGAAAATAATTAAAGCATGCTATATGTGCTTTGACGGATAAGAAGTGTAATATAAAAAAAGTAAGATTATTTTCGCGATTTTTACCTTACAATGTTTTAACCGAACTATCGACATTTAAGAGGACATATATTTTCTTCAAAACATTATATAAAATAACATAACATTATTGCACAGAATCTCACAGCGTTTGACATTCTTTTTATTCTAAAAATTCTAAATAATTATGAAATGATATCATTTCACACCCAAAATAATACTTTAGAATTAGAAAGAAATTTTATTATAAATATTAAACAACTGACTAACTGCATCTATTTAATCTGTTTGTGAACAGAGGCAACTGTCAAGAAAGTACAATTTTACGAACAGTTTTTTGATATCAAAAATTTCATAATATAGGCAAATATAAACAAAAGTTAAGCCTAATTTAAATTTATATAACTTATTTATGAATTACATATTTTTATATTATCATATAAATGATATTTGCAATCACTATTCACAAATTATTTAAACTATATATACAATATTTTCGTTTATACTTACCAATAATATAAATAATATGATAAATAAAAAACTGCAGTCCCAAACTCGTAAGCTGACTAAACGTACTTCAGATCTTTAATGAAAGACCATATAATTCTTTATTGTACGAGTCTTTCTTTTGTGATGAAACTTGAACGTAAATAATATGTACTCTCGATAAAGGCTAATGATATAGTGTTTCGAGATGAGCAAGTATTTTCGATTTCGATAACTAATCAGAAATCGACATCAGGTCAGGAATTTGACTGTTGATGTTATGATGTATATATCAGAAAAATTACAAAAAAAACTAAAGTCTTATTGTTCGAATGTCTCACGCTTCCCAAAATATTCGAGAAGCTGAAAT